CGCGGTCTGTGGAGAGGGTACAGGAATTGGTTTTTTTCTTCCACCATGGGATAGAATTCAGGTCATCAGTCTTGGCAGCAAGCACCTTTACCCACTGAGCTACCTCATTAAAATCAGCCATCTGATTCCATGGATGCACAGTGTAGAATGACTGAATCAAGCTAAATGACACTATTATGTATCTTTTCAGTGTCAGAGTAGACATTATTTAATGTCTGCCTAAGAAGACAGATGGGTTGCCATACATATCTGCTTCTGTATTTAACCTTTTGCAATATGTTGTTTTGGTTCAAGTACATGAAGAAAACTTAGCTTCACACAGTTATGCAGTCAGAAAAGGGCTGGGTATTTTATAGCCTTTTCAAATAGATGTGGATATTCTTTTAAAGTAAGTCAAAATCTAGCACGTGGAGCCTTCTTAAAGTTCAGCTGCAACGTGGAATCTGAACTCTGTCAATGAACTCTCCTCTGTTCCATTAAAATACACTCCAGGTCTTTTACTTGTGAATACATTTGACCTGAAGGACTGCACCAAAGGCCCCAGGGACCCCTAAGGCCTCCAAACTACAACTTCAGAACCAGTTAGCCCATTCTACATACTCCCCCACCCTCAGACACTGCCCCAGTTTCTTGTCATCTCCAGACATTCCCAGCACCTCCTGGTCCGTCTCTGTGCCTTGTCCTAAGATGCTCTTTCTTCCTTTCCTGACATATAAAAACATGGCTAACTTTTCATCAGCTAATCCAGAAGTCCTCTCAATGGGCCCAGTCCCACCCACTCTCTGCACTTCCAGGGTACTTTGCCAGAACTTCTCTGTACTTTAACCCACTTGAACTTGGCTGTCTCCTCACATGGCACAAAAGCTCCTTGAAGGCAGAAACCAGGTCTTAAATTGTTTTAGCAAGATTTTTATGAAATCTATTGTTTTTTAAATAGAAGGTCTTAGGCTGGCTAGACCCCAGTGGATGAACTCACACTGAGGGGACATCTGAGGACACTAACTTGACAGGATAGACCTTAACACAAACTGACAGCATTTATGAATTCTAGTGGGGGGCTATGGGGAGGTGCCAGTGGGGAACGGGGTATGAAGATGATTAAGATATTCCATATGAAATACACAAAAATTCAATAAAAAATTTACAAAGGACTGGGGAGATGGCTCAGCAGTTAAGAGCACTGGCTGCTCTTGCAGAGGACCTGGGTTCGAATCCCAGCATCCACATGGCGACTGACAACTGTCCATAACTCCAGCTCCAGGAAATCCAACACCTTCTTATGACCTCCACAAGCATTGCAGAACACAGGTGCATTTACATACATGCAGGCAATACACTCATACACATAAATAAAAATTTTTTAAATTCTTAGTTAAAAAATTTACAAAAACTGTAATATTGAAGCAATCTTGTGTTTTCTCTCTTATTTTAAAGCTCATGTCTCTTTTTGAGAAAACTTAAATTTTTCTATCTTTAATGTTAAAGAAATATTTAAATTCATGAATATTTCAAGCAAAAATAAACTTTCTAATGAGTGTCTTGAATATGAACTTTTTTTTATGTGCATGTGTGTAAGTGCACCCGTGTCATACAATGCCTGCAGAGGTCAGAAGAGGACGTCAGATCCCCTGGAACTGGAGTTACAGACAGTTGTTAGCTGCCATATGGGTGCTGGGATTCCAACCCGGGTCTTCTGCAAGAACAGCTAGTGTTCTTAACCGCTGAGCCATCTCTCCAGGCCCTGAATATGAACTTTATTATTATTTTTTTTTGTCTTTTTGAGACAGGGTTTCCCTGTAGCCACAGCTGGCCTAGAACTCACTATGAAGACCAGGCTGGCCTTGAACTCACAGAGATCTACCTGCCTCTGCCTCCCAAGTGTTAGGATTAATGGTGTGTGCCACCACACCCAGCTGAATATGAACATTTAAACTAGCCAAATACTCATGTATAGCACCCCTGAGAATTACTGGGCCACACAGCTGTTTCTAGACTCATACCGTAGCCAGTTCCTGAACAGACTCCTCTGAAGCTCCAAGTGAAGCCAGGCCAATTTCTTGGGAGAATTGAGCAAAACTAGGTTCGGCCAAGAGGGGAACATGACCTAAGAGTTCATGGCAGGTATCTCTGAAACACAAGGACAAAACTGTCATACCATATGCTTGGTAGAAATGAATAGCCAACCCTTGAAGTCAATCAAAATTCAATCTTGCTTTTGTTCTAGCTGAGCAGATGTAATGGATCACAAAGGTACCAATCCAATAAAGAGATATTTTTGCTTCTAAATCTTGGCCACACACACACACACACACACACACACACACACACACATACACACAATCAGATGCCCACAGACATCCCATATACCTCACCCAACCAGGTGTCTCTACTCCCATGTCTCCTCAGCAAGGCTCTTTCTTGATTTCTAATCACCCTTCCCAAAACAACAACCATACACGTCTCCATCTCCTTTCCTAGCCTTATTTTTCACTGTGGCATACAGCATCATCTGACATAATATATTGTTTACTTATCATCTGTATGTCCCCTCCAAAATCTCAATTTTTACATCCCTTGTGCAAAGAACAGCACCTGGCACCTAACAAGTTGTCAATTTAATAATAATAGTAATAATAATAACAGCTAATTCTATGGAACACACATTACATACCAGTCAGTGCTCTATTTTACATATGATAATGCAATATACATTTGCAATATTTATAATATACAATTAAAATAATATACATTAATTTTATCAATTACATTAACAAGATGTAATTTACATTTAATCCTCATGAGAAGCCTCATGCAGTGGGTATCGTTATTACAAATAACTTTGATGAATAAATGGCTAAAGAGGTGCTTACGGCTCTGGGGTGTAGAGGGGATCTGAGCTGTGTCTCACATACTGAGTGCAGTGAAAGACTCGAAAAGCTAAGCCCGATAGGAAGTCTCTTGGTGATAGGTAACCAGCTACTGGACGGATGGAGAAGCCTGTGCGCTCTGCAAAGCAAAGGAGGAAACAGAAAACTTTCACCTCAGACTAGACCACTAACCAGCATCTTCATCCTGCCAGACAGCAGGCAACACTTTCAAGGGGACATGGAAACCAGTGGTTGCTAAGTACTTCCCACTGTCAGGCAGTGAGTTAGAGCTTTTTTAAAATTTATTTTTATTTTATGTGTGTATATGTTTTGTCTTCACATATGTATGTGTGTAAGTACACGCATGGTATGCAATGCCCATGGAGGCCAGGAGAGGGCGTCAGATCCCCTAGAACTGGAGTTACGGATGGTTGTTAGCTGCTGTATGGATGCTAAGAACTGAACCCGGGTCCTCTGCAAGAGCAGCCAGTGCTCTTAAACACTGAGCCATTGTTCCAGCCCCAAGATACAGAGACTATTATAGCCATCACACACTGCCATTGGGAATGCAAATAGCTGTGCCCACTATGAAAATCAGTATGGAGGTTTCTCAGAAAACTAAACACAGAACCTCAATGTGACCAAGCTATGCTACTCCTGAGTGTTTATTGGAAGAACTCCAGCATACCCCACAGATATCTGCACATCCATGTTTATGGCTGTCCTAGTCACAATAGAAAGGAAGTGGAATCAGCCTAAATGTCCATCGATAAATGAATGGATAAAGCGAATGTGTATATGCAAAATGGAGTTTTATCTAGCCCTGAAGAAAGATGAATTCATTGGTCTATGCAGGAAAATGGATGGAAGTGGGATGGCTAAATATAATGTCAGGCAAAATACACCAGGCTCAAAAAGACAAATAATGCATGTCTTCTCTCACGAGGAGAACCTAGATTCAAGTGTGTGTGTGTGTGTGTGTGTGTGTGTGTGTGTGTGTGTGTTCTCTCTGTGTCTCTCTCCCCTTTCCTCCCTCTCTCGTGTGTGTCTGTAAGACATCATGAACCTGGGACTGCAAAGGGAAGAAGTCTTTTGAAAGGGGGAAGAGGAGAGAGAGCATAAGGGAATACATGTGGTATGAGAACAGAAGGGGGGTCCCTTTGGGAGGAGGGACCAGGAAGAGCAGTGAAGGTTGGTGGCATAGGACGAGTGGCAGATATACATGAAATGCCACAATGAAATCCACTACTTTATATGATAAACATTCATTTCTTTTTTAGGATTTATTTTTATTTTATGTATATGCGTGTATTGCTTGCATGTGTGTAAGTGCACCTGTGTCATGGAGCGCCAGCAGAGGACAGAAGAGGGCTTCAAATCTCCTGGAACTGGAGTTATGGACAGTTGTCAGCTGCCATGTGGGTGCTGGGATTTGAACCCAAGTCTTCTGCAAGAACAGCCAGTGCACTTAACCACTGAGCCATCTCTCCAGCCCTGACAAACATTAATTTCAAAAGAATTTTATAGCAGAGGCATTTTTAAATCTATGCCAATTTTAGCCAGCATTGTCTTTTGTAGTTTTTATTTCACCTAATCTGAGTGATTGTTTCCAAATGCCAAGAAAGGGACCAGTCGGCTCCAGTGGCTCATGATACCGCTGCGTGTGCCATTGTGTCCTTCCTGCCCGACCCTCACAACACTGGTCTTCCAGTCCTACCCAGCTGCTTTGTACGTGGATGCCCCCACTGTGACAGGAAGAGCACCGTCCAACAGGATCTTCCACAGTGACAGGAATGTTCTCTATCGTGCTGTCTAGTGGGGTAACTATCAGCCACTTGTCACTACTGAGCACTCAATATGTGGCTAGTATGACAGGGGTGCTGATGTTTTGGTCAAGTACATCTTAATTGTATATAAGGTACATAACAGCTCCCATATTTGACAGTATCAGTATCCTCATCTAGTTGGTATTTCCTTTGAACTATACCTTAATTTTGGTTTCTGTCTTCTACACTTGCCCTAGAAACACTCTCAGCAGAATAGTTCTGCAGCAAGCCCAGACCTGGGAGAACGGCTTTAGGTTTTATATCTACAATAAATGCTTCCTGCAAATCTCAGGCAAACTTGACTGTACAATTGCTGCAGCATCTACTCGCCCAGCCGTGGTAGTCCAGCGAGGTTGTGTGCTTTGATTCTGTACTGTGTTTTAAAAGTTTGGTTTTATAGGAACCACAAAGTGATTTCTTCCCACAGAGAAGGCATGGTATTGCTTTTTCCTGTTTAGTTCCTTTCAGCTGTGTGTATAGTTGTTGAATAATGAGAATTAAGGGGTAGACTAAACATGTAGCTATTTCTAACTTAGACAGCAATTTCAGCCAGGATAAAAAGACATTAACAAATTGTGCAAAAAACCTAACTTCTGCAGCTCAGAGGAAGAATGCTTGCGTAGCATTCCTGGGCACCTGTGTTCTGTCCTCAGCACTACAGAACAACAGCTTCTCTGGGCTTTTAATCCAATGAGACAAAGGAGATATGTATTTTTCTTAAGCACTGTAGACTCTGGATTATCAGTGATCATTTTATTTTCTACATTAGCTAGAAAAAAGTAAAGAGGCCTGAATTAAACAAGATTGTCCTGACCCTTTGTTTATGGTCCTAATGTCATATACATCTTCTCTGTTCTAAAAAGGATAAATCTGGGCTGGAGATATGGCTCAGCAGTTAAGAGCACTGGCTGCTCTTGCAAAGGACCCAGGTTCGAATCCCAGCACCTACATGGTTCCAGGGGATCCAACACCCTCTTCTGACCTCTGTAGGCATTACACGACACAGGTGTACTTACATACATGCAAACACAACACTCATACACATAAAATAAAAATAAACAAATCCAAAAAATTTTAGAAAGATAAATCTCAGTGTGGGAGAGGCCTCAGCAATCACCTGGCCATCAGATATTCTCTGCTGTCCTGACCCTGAGGCAGGTGTGGAGGTTTGGCAGACACCCCCCTAAACGGGGGTTGAATATCTCATGAGCTTGCTCTGGTATCACACAGCTCTTCTAACAAGGAATTCTCCGTTCTTTACTTTAGGGTCATATAGAAATCCCTCTATTATGTAAAATAGCTTCCAAATCATCAAATGTTTAAATAATCAGTGTCCCCTTCATCTCTAAATTAACAACCAGAGTGACCAGATTTTACTTGTGTGAGGCACTGCTGATTCCCTTGCAATTCTGCCCACTTTCTCTCTTGCTCCAGGCTATGCTGATTCCACTTTCTGATGCAGAACTCAGCCTAGGATCCAATACTCCGGGATGGAGTCTAGGAAACTCTCAACCTTGCATGTAACTACACTTCACCCCTCCACAGACAACACTGAAACCCAGCTCAGCATTCACACACAAGTTCCACTAGTTTATTACCTTTTAAAAAGTTGGAAATGTCTTCTAATTGTGGGATGTTATCTTCCTGATAGCCACAATATTTCGAAAGCAGAGGCAAGTTTTTGAGATACTCCCTGCAAGCGTGGGTTGGGTAGAGTTTGGTGAGCTCTCGGAAGATGGTTCCCCAGGTCTTAATCTCGTCTTCAGTGAATTCAACCTTGGGAATGGGGTCCCCACTAATGAGATGAAGAGAAGTTATTCTGCATTGCAGGTAGGTATTAGCGCTTAGTTTACTTTCTATTTACTAAGTAAGCAGAGTCTACCCCATTTTTTTGTTATCTCAAAGTTGGATATACTGGGTTGTAAGGTACTTACTGTTTGTAGTTTAGAGCCAACTCTGCAAAATACTTTCGTCTTCTACGGTACACACTGTCTTTGAAGCCCTGATAATTAAGGAGAAATTATTCAATATTAAAATTGGGGGCTGGAGAAATGGCACAGTGGTTAAGAACACTGGCTGTTCTTACAGAAGACCCAGGTTCAAATCCCAGCACCCACATAGCAGCTAACAACTGTCTAACTCCAGTTCCAGGGATCCAACAGGCTCTTCTGCCCTCCACGGGCATTGCAGGAGACAGGTGCACTTACCTACATGCAGGCAATATGCACATACACATAAAATAAAAATAATAAATAAAATATTTAAAAAAAATAATTAAGATTAAAAATACTTGAAGATGGTTTTAGGAAACACCTCATTGTCTTTACTGGAAATATGACTTTAAAGGGTTCCATGATTGTTGCTATGAGCAAACACTGTTTAGACATGTGTGGTCATTTATCTTAAAGTCAAGCTTCTCCATGACAGTTTTATCATCTACTAGCCACAAAGGTGAAAGACTTGATCCACAAAGATGGTACAATGACCACAAAGAGAAAAGTTTGAATAGAGGACGTGCCCTGCTAGCTAAACACTGGATGCTGTTTTGTTTTCCTTGACCATCTACATCTTCAGTTACATTTACCTATGGTAGAAACTAGTGGTAAAACAGTAGGACTAGGGGTGTGATTCAGTGATAATTTCTGTCCAGCATGCCTGGAGGCCCTGGAGTCAATCCCCAGAACTGCAAATAATAATAAATAACAATTACTGTTTGAACTATGTTAACTGAATCCAGCCTTATGTTTTATTACAAAATGCAAACACATTTATCCTCACAGAAGCAAACCACCATAATAATTTCTTCACTTGTTTGTTTTTGCAGATAGGGTCTTCCTGTAGCCCCAGCTGTCCCGGAACTTGCTACGTAGACCAGGCTGGCCTTGATTTCACAGAGATCCACCTGCCTCTGCCTCCTGAATACAGGGATGAAAAGTCCGTGCCACCACACCTGACTCAATGATAATAATTTTTAAAGCATAGACAAGGGATTGGAGAGGTAGCTCAGTTGAAGATTAAGGTCCTGCAGGTCTATTAAAGAGTTTGAATTTTAGCCTTGGGACTACATTGGCAATTAATATTAAACTAATGCCAGGGCCAGTGAGGACCTCCTTCTGTTCTTTATGGGTTCATTGGTTGATGGGCATTTGGGCTGAACCTACTTTTTGGCTACCATGAGCTATGTTTTTGATTCTCAGAGGTGTATATGTAGGAGCCACTGGTGATGTTTAGAAGAGTTTGGGTTATATTGAGGCTTTAGGGCGTTCTGTTGGCTCCTACTATGTGTGTGAAGGCAGCAAGGTGGGAGGCAGGGAAACACTGAAGGGGTGTGAAGTCAGAATAAATAAGGAACTAATTTAAGAGCTGTAGGAGGAGAAGACCAGCAGCTTTGGCAGGAGACGGCGCTGCCGCTCTAGCCCTGCCTAACATGCCCTGAGTTTTCTTGCTGCTGGACCGTTGCACATCCTGTTCCCTCAAGAACTGTCTGTTCACCCGTCTCTCGCCTGCTGAAATCTTCTAAGGCCCAGCTGAAGTGCTGTCTTTCTCTGACAGATTCTGGCTTCCGCTAGAAACGTTTGCTGTCTCGTGTGTATTTGCAAACAACTTGTTATCATCACTTGGCGCACTTTTTACGTTTTATCTTGCAACTGTTGATATATGGTGTGTTAGTTTCTCAACTAGCCTGCAGGCTCCTTCTGGGTGAGTACTGCATTTCGCTGTAATATTATTCAGTAAGATTAAAGGATTAATGGACGGGTTGTTCTAAAGTGGTATAAGGCGACATTCACACAGCCAAAAAGCTGGAGGAGCTGGAGAAAACCCCAGAGCCGGGAGATTTCACAATTGCACTCTCTCCTCTTCTTCCCCCCAGAGCTTGGTACACTGGCCTAACACTCTGGATTCCAATTATCCAGCCCCAGACTGCACTGTAAGATTTTCCCATAGAAGGACTTCCTAAATCAGCAAGTGCCTAATTAACCAATCAAACTGGGTAGCAAAGGTGGTGAGACTTTTTCTGACCTTTATTTCCCTCTCAATCAGGCACATTACTAAAAACTGACTGCAAACACACTTAGCTGTGTAGCTCCGGGACATCTTATTCATAGAAGTGCCAGGCACAGGGCAGAAGTCTCAGAGCCAATGAAGCTGGAGACTTTCCAGACTTAGTCCCAGCCCCTCACTGTGAAGTTTAACATGCTTCCTGAAATCCCAAGTCAAACAGGATTCTATTTAGTCCAGAAAAATATTTTTCTCAAAAACAAGTTACCCTAACTATTTGGGAAGAGAAAGGAGACCAGTGTGAGGTGAAGGGGGAACAAGACAGAGTGATGGGGATAAATATACTCAAGGCACTTTATATGTGTATAAAAACATCATAATGAGGGGCCTGGAGAGATGGCTCAGTGGTTAAGAACACTGGTCGTTCTTGCAGAAGACCTGGGTTCGAATCCCAGCACCCACATGGCAGCTAACAACTGTCTGTAACTCCAGTCCCAGGAGATCCAACAGCCTCTTCTGACCTCCTGAGGCACTGCATGACACCAGTGCACTTACCTACATGCAAGCAATACATGTACACACATAAAATAAAAATAATAAATAAATTTTTTAAAAATCATAATGAACTGAATCATTTTGTATAAATATATGCTACGATATATTAAGATATTTAATTAAAAAGTTGTCCTTAATTTTTAGTTTGCTTTTAATTACTTTCATAACACTATTTATTTTTAAAAAATATTTACAGGATGGTCTGCATCGAGTTCAGATCCGTACATCAGCACTCTGTTAGCACAGAAGTCCAGGTCAGAAATCTTCTTTGGAAACCAAAGGACAGTTTCCATATCTACAAAATAACAAACAAAAGTCACTGAGAGTTGAAGAGACAATATTAACTAAGAAGAAATTAAGAAATAAATGCATTTGGATGAGATTTAAACTTATACATCGAAGGAAATTTTTGACTTAAGTAAGCCACTATATTTCTAAGAATTATATTTTAATTAAAATTGTTACCTTTAATTTTTTGAACCTTCAGGTTGATTCCTCAAGTGTTACAGGTATAATATACTTGAGTAACAAACCACACATTTTTTAATATTTTAAGACCCATAAGTAGTTAGCCTTCAAAAGCAGAGTAAGTACACTTTACAGACCAAGGCCCAAGTTTAATAAGAACTTTGAATATCTTTGGTTTGTTTCTTTGTTTGCTTGAGACAGGATCTCATGTCTAAATATCATTTTCCTTTGGTCTTTTTGAGACAAGGTCTCCTTGTAGCCCCAGCTGGCCTGGAACTCACTGTAGACCAGGCTGGCCTCTGACTCGGAGATACATCTGCCTCTGCCTCCCAAAGGCATGCACCACCTGCCAGGCTGAATATCATTTTGGATGATGGAAATGATCCCAACATTCGGTTATGCCTTTGCCACCTTGACCATGCCATCCCACAAGCAGTCACAGGACTCTGCATTTTTGCCTTGTTCTTTTGCCTGGAGTACCTACCCTTCCCCCCCACCCCCCCCCTCTGCGTCTTTTGAACATACCTATCCTTTGAGTCTTCCTCATTCTGAAATGTTGTCACTGATCTGTAGGTGCAGGCCATTTTCTCTGGGGCCCTGCAGTACCCTTCCTTCCTTCCTTCCCTCCCTCCCTTCCTTTCTCCCTCCTTTCCTCCTTCTTTTCTTCCTTCCTTTTTCAAAAAATGAATAAAATCTTTCATTTCTTCCTTTCTTTCTTCCTTCCTTCCTTTCTTCCTTCCTTTCTTTCTTTTTTTTCTGAGATACAGTTCCATGAAACTTAGGCTGGCCTTGAAGTTGCTATGTAATCAAGGATGACCTTGAACTCCTGATCCTCCATCCTCTACCTCCCAAGTGCTGGGATCACACAGGTGTGCCACACACTGCTCGGTTGTGCTGTTTCTAACTTTCTCCAGGTTCTTGCTGGTTTTTTTAGACTATGTGTCTTTAAAAGTCCTTTGTGAAGGTCAAGAATAACTTAGGGTAAGGACTGTATTTATTTTTTATATTCCTATTTCTTAGTAAAAAAATTTGACACAAGTTGGTGTACCCTAAATATTAAATGGACTGTCTAGCCATGTATAAAACACTTCACTGTGTAGGCAAGGTAACCAGCCTCTAGATGGTAAGACAATTTACCCAGGGCAACCATCACCTTGGAAGGGAGAGGCCTAGAACTCAGTGCTTGCTCCAGACCCTTGATCTTTCTACTGGACACAGCACAAGATACTGGAGCTTTACCAACATATACAGCAGGGGTGCTGATCACTCAGTACAGACAATAGCAGCATCCTTGGCCTCTGCTCTGGCAGGCCCTAACCCTGCCTTGTTCATATGGCCTTAGGAGGATCTGGAGTAACAGAGGCTTCCAGCACAGTGAGGAGTGCTCAGGGACTCAGGGAAGTCAGTCCCTGTCATTCACAAGTGGAGGTGAGACATGAGACAATGTTGATACCGAGGCTGGACAGGTGAACCAGCATCACAGATCCTGTGATGTACTTTGAAGGGATTAGGCTGAGTATAGAATGTGGCTAAATGGATCCATTTGTCTTTTGCCTTAACTGAACTGTAAGGACTTCCTTTTAGAAATGGAGACCTTAGCCTCCATCTTTGCTGAGCATCTGAAATCTTAGAAGCTTTACATGGGCTTCATGGTTGTTTTCGGTAGGGATAAGGTATAGGACGGGTTCTGTGTCACTGTCAGACACTGTCAACATTCTCAACAAGTTCAATTTTTGCTTAATATCTGTGATTCTAAGCCCCAAGGGGTCTATGAAGGGTGTGGGAGGGGAGCTGGGGGCTTGTGAGATCAAGAAAGGCTTGGGAGTAGAGAGAGCATGGATTTCTGAGTCCTCACGCTAACCCACCATAAAATGCTGCTTCTTAATGTTTCCCTCAGTCTTTGGAGCAATTCTATTCTGTGTTCCCTTCACTACCAGACTGGAAGAACCTTGAAAAGACAGCATTTCATTCTTCATTCCATGTCCTCAGGGAGTGCAAAGGTGGGTCGCTCCCTGGCCACTTAACTGTCGGTAGGTTTGGACTTTTCAGACTCACCATCCTCCTTCATGGTGAGCTGGCCAGGTGGATCCACAGAGAGAACACTGGTGTGGGACTTCAGCAGGTGAGAGATGTCATCCAGTTGCTGTCTGTTGATGTCACAGTCGACAAAAATCTCAAATTCTGAATTTCTTCGCTTTGATTTCCGGGACTCGATATGTAACAGGTTGATGTGCTTCTCCTGTGTGAAGCAGATGGTAAAGATGACATGTAACTGCCTCACATGTCAATAATCTTCAAGAAAGTACTTTTCATTAGCATTAAAAGCCAATTTCACACTTGTCATAATCAACTAAAAAGCGGAAAAGGGGTGTTTTTAGTGCTGCTAACAGAAAAAAAAAAAAATCCTCCTTCAAATATGTAAGTGAATAAAATTGTGCAAATTCATCATACTCAAAAAACAAAGCAGCAGCCACAAGAGGTCCTCCAGGTAGTCAGGACTGGTTAGAATTCAAATCTAAGCACCAGCCCTGAGCCAGGCCTAGCGTCAGGTACATGCCTGTAACCCTAACTCTTGGAAGTGGAGGCAGAAGGATCAGGAGCTCAAGGTCACTGTCAGCTACATTGTGAGTTTGAGGTTAGCCTGGCTACATAAACCCTGTTTCAAAAAAACTAAAAATGAGATGGCTCGGAGGGGAAAGGCACTAGCCACCAAGTCTGATGGCCTGCTGCATTAGATCTCCAGGTCCCACATGGTGGAAGGAGAAAATCAGTTCTTGAAAGTTGTCCTGTAACCTCTACACACATGCTATGGCACACACACACACACACACACACACACACACACACACCACTAAATAAATAAATAAATAAATAAATAAATAAATAATTTAATAACTTAAAACGCCAAGTCTCCTGGATAAAAATAACCTTTGGAAAATTCTCCCAATAAAACTAGTTTTCAGAAAATAATATTGCTGCTAATATTAAGAAATAAAAGCTTTTCTTTAAAACCCACTTTTACTGCAATCCCTATCAACATAATTTCTTATTTTATTCTAAATATGCATCCTCATATTTTCAGACAAATGTACCTTTCACCCCTCATCAAAGAAGCTTCTTTTTTGCAATAGATGGAGACTATTACAGAGTTCCAGAACTGGTCAAATGCAGAGAATAAGTACCTGTGAGACACTTAACCTTAAATGACACATCTTCAGTGCAATCTCTGTATCTAGGATGCACGCATCTCTGAACTCTCACCAGAGAAGTTTCCTTATGCTGCAGATGGTGGTGAACACAGAAACCCACAACTGGCCAATGCGCAGAGAACAAGAGGCTGCAGAGTGCTCATCCCTGAATAGGACTCCCACTTCAAACCTCTGCCTTCCGAGGCTCAGGGATCATTGCGGAAAAGAAGGCCGAAAGATTGTAAGAGCCAGAGAGGGTGGATGACCACGAGGAAACAGTCTTTCAGACAGCTGGTCAGTTACTCAAGTGAACGCACAGAAATGGTGACTGCATGCACAAATCCTATGCAAGCTCAAATCAGACAGAATCCTAGCATAGACACAGGGAAGTGAGTAAGGAATCCCAATACAACCTAAGGAACTTTTGGCAATTGATGGCTGCTGGTTGGGGAAAGACAGTGTCTTACAGGGATGGGCCTCTTGGCCCGGCGGATGGACCCACCCTGAAGGATATTTGAGAAACAAATCAGACTCTATAGTCGCGCACTGGGGACAGAGTGATGAGAGGTGAGAACCAACCACCTAATGGTTTTTCAATCTTAAAAAAACAGAAACCTTGGTGCAGCTGACCTCCAATACTAACCATTTCATCCTAAGATGACTTCCCAAACACCTGTGCTGTCAGATAAGGCGCGTGAAGCGTTAAAGGGAGGGGAGACATCCGGGGATGTGGAGTCTAGACCCAGAAACACCAGCCGCACGTAACTTCCCAAACACCTGTGCTGTCAGATAAGGCGCGTGAAGCGTTAAAGGGGGGGAGACATCCGGGGATGTGGAGTCTAGACCCAGAAACACCAGCCGCACGTTCAGAAACTCCTCTCAGCAGCTTCAGCCGAGAGGAAAAAAAGCGTGAGTTTGAGGGAACAGGAGGTGCTGCCTGACAGGCAGCTTAAAGAAAGGGTAAAATGGGTGGCAGAAGGGAAGAGGCGTTTCTTTTTTATTATTATTTTTTATGTATATGAGTGTATGCATGTATGTGAGTGCACCAGTCTCGTGCAATGGCGCGGAGGTCAGAAAAGGGCTTTGGATACCCCTGGAACTGGAGTTAAGGACGGTTCGTAGCCACCATGTGGGTGCTGGGAATCGAACCCGGGTCCTCTGCAAGAGCAGTCTGCTCTCAACAACCTAGTCATTTCTCCAACCCCGGGAAGAGCGGTTTCAAGCTGAAGAAACCGTACAGAGCTGGGGAGATGGCTCGTCGGATCAAGCACTTGCCGCACAAGCCTCAAGAGCTGAGTTTGGGTCCCTAGAGCCCATAGAAAAAGCTGCCTAGGCATGGCAGCCACCTGTGACCCAAGCACTGGGGAGGTGGGGGTGGGGGACAGAGGATCCTGGGGCAAGGGGCAAACTAGACAGCCAGACAGAGAGGGGGGAGGGAGGGAGGGAGGGAGGGAGGAAAGAAGGAAGGGAAGGAAAGAAAGACGAAGGGAGGGAGAGGGGAGGGGAGGGGAGGGATGAACTATACAAGCAAAGGTAGGGGTGAAACAGATACGATCAGGGCACATGAACCAAGAAGAGAACTGGAAAAGGTGGAGTTCATCCTGGAGAAAAGAATTTATCCTAAAGCCAACAGGGAAGGCCAGTTATAAAATACCTGGAGTTGGTCACAAGGAGAACTTCATTTCATGTATTTCTTCTGATTTTTTTTTTTACAATAAATAAGGCATTTATAAATACTTTCTAATTGATAGCTTAAGTGCAAAGTTAAATGCTATGTTTGGGGAGAAAAAGCTGCAAAATGTAAACTAAACACTACCCAAATTAAAATCCCAATGGAAATTAGTGGCAAATAAATAGTTTCAAAGTTCAGTTGGAAGAAGATTATAGTCAGGATAAAGAGGATGACATGAGTGAAGGTCCCACCAGACAGGACCAGGACCAGCCATACAGCTAATAGCATCCAAATTGGATTCCGACCTGGGCTGTCCAGTTCTAAGTCCATGCTTCTGAACACAGCACTGCAACTCTCTTACACAAGAAAGGGGGAGTCTGATTCCCCTGGAACTGGAGTTACAGATGGTTGTTATCTGCCACGTGGGTGCTGAGAATTGAACCCGGGTCCTCTGCAAGAACAGCCAGTGCTCTTAACTGCTGAGCCATCTCTCCAGCACTAGATTGAGAACTGTTTGAGACTGATCGTTGCTGGGTGAGGGAGAATATGACTTGCATACGTCCACTGGATGGGCTGACAAGACTCCAGTGGACGCATTTACACTGAAGGACATTTGGGTACAAACACCTGAATGAATAGGACTCAGCATGTATGGCAGAGTGCATAGGGATGGGGGAGGCATGGATGGGGGAGGGGGTCTGGATTTGAGTGGAAAGTGTATGAAATTTTAAAAGCTCAATAAAAAGATTTTTTTTTAAACAAAGGGGGAGTCATGATGGTAGGTAACACAGGGCTTCCCCAAACAGCATTTACATAATCTCAGTGCAGAAAACCCTCAACTTGAACACAGCCAAAACCTGGGACATAACTGAGTGAGAAAAAGGGAGGTGGGGGTAGAGGAGGCCACCGAGAGGGAGTCCTGTCAAGAAACCTAAATATTTACAGGACAATCAGTAGATGATACAATTGGAGGCTGGGAAGATGGCTCAGTAGGTCAAGTGCTTGCTGCTCAGCAGTTCAAGTGCTTGCTGCTCAGTAGTTCAAGTGCTTGCTGCAAAAACATTGAGGGCCAGAATTTGCATCCCCAGAAAGACAGGAGATACATAATGAGTTACAGGCCAGCCTGGGCTACAGAGCGAGACCCTGCCTCAAAAACAAAACAAAACAAAACAAAACATCAAAACCAAAAATCAGAATAAAGAGAGATATGGCAGAGGCCAGATGTGTTCTCTGTTAGTTTACAGTATGTGTTGATTTTTAAAACCATGTATAGAGACTCTTTGATTAACAATAAATAGAATTGAAAGGTGATGAAAGAAGAAATTCAGATATGCTTTTTAAAGATACAAAGGTAAGCAATACAATAAAATAATAGTATAATAAAATAATAATATAGCTGGGCGTGGTGGCGCACACCTGTAGTCCCAGCACTTGGGAGGCAGAGGCAGGCGGAGCTCTGTGAGTTCAAGGCCAGCCTGGTCTACATAGTGAGTTCCAGGACAGCTGGGGCTACAGGGAGACCCTGCTTCAAAAAGACACACACAAAAAAATAGTATAATCCAAACTTGCTGGTGCAGACCTATAATCCTGACTAGCTGGGAGGCTGAGGTAGGAGGACCATGAGTTTGACACCAGCTTGGACAACTCAGTGAGACCCTGGCTCAAAATAAAATAAAAAGAGAGCTATACCTCAGTGTAGAACCCATGCTTAGCATGCTCGAAATCCTAGGTTTAGCTCCCAGTATGGCAAAAAATTAAAAATAATATAACAAAAGAATCAAATTTGGGTTGGAGGAAGAGAAGGACAAAAGAAGATGGTATCAATATCACCGTTTACAGTAGAGAACAAATTAGCGTCGTTTACGTTCATAACTCAATGACAAAACAAAAGCAATATTTACATTTTGCAACTCAGCACTGAAGAGGGAAAGAGAAAAAAGGTTAAGGGAGTTGGTCTGAGGATGTGCCTGAACTGTAAACCTTCTAGAGTATTTGTCTACATTTAAATTTTTATTTTTTGAATCACTATTTTCTTTTTTTAATATTTTATGTGCATGAGTGTATTGCCTGCATGCAAGTGCACCTGTGTCATGCAGTGCCTGCAGAAGTCAGAAGAGGGCATTGGATCCCCTGGAACTGGAGTTACAGATGGTTGTTAGCCACCATGTGGGTGCTGGAAATCAAACCTGGGTCCTCTGCAAGAACAACCAGTGCTCTTAACCACTGAGCCATCCCTCCAGCCCCTGAATCACTATTTTCAAAAGGCTAAAGAATTTTATGACATATGAACATAAACCTGCTTTTCTAAGACAGCTAACATTTACTGTTTACTTTGTATTACCTTAAGCTCTTTGAAGAGTTTAACTCTATTAATTCTTAGTGGCCAGAGGTAGGCAGGGTTCTCTCTCACTTTATCAAGAAGTGCAGAGAGATTAATTAACTTATGACAGGCACACAGCTAATAAGAGAGAGCGAAGTTTGCATGTAGGTGATCTACTTCAAGAACCCACAAGCTCAGCCACAGGGTCTTCTAGTAGAGCAACTTAGCCTGTCCTCTATCTTAGGACAAGCAGTTTATTCTAAATTTTGGGTTTTTATAATACATTTTTGTGTCCCTGAGCCTTTAATCTGGGCTAAAGCTCCCAGTTCAGTGATGTCAGGGTGCTTGGTCTCTGTCTTCTGGTTAACTTTACACATGTAGTTTTTTACTTACCATAACTATTTGTTGATCTATTGCCCTGTCTAGACTCTATGCCCCATGAGGGCAGATACCATGTCTACTCTGTTTAGATCCACATTCTTAGTATAGAGGCCAGCACCTGGCACATAGTAAGTCTTCAATAAACATTCATGCTCTGCCTGACTCACCCATATTTTACTAAGACAGTTTCATGGGAGGGGCTGGGGACATGGCTCAGTGGGTAAGAGCACTTGCTGCACAAGCATGAGGGTCTGAGTTCAAATCCCCAGTACCCACATAAGAAGTCAGGTATGGCTACACACCTATAATCCAGCACTGGAAGGGTAAGACAGGAGGATGGCTGGATCTTGTTGGCTTCCAGCTTAGACCAAGGTTTGGTAACCAACCCTATATCAAAGGAACAAGGTGTAAAGTGACAGAGAAGGACACCTGACATCCTTCTGCACATGTGTACACACACCACACACAGTTAAACCAGAGAGAGACAGACAGAGAGACAGAGAGGGAAAGAGACAGACAGAGAGACAGAGACAGAGAGAGGCAGAGAGGGAGAGAGAGACAAACAGACAGAGAGACAGAGAGGGAGAGAGACAGACAGACAGAGAGACAGAGACAGAGAGACAGAGAGGGAGAGAGAGAGATTCATGGACATGTCATTACTGGGTAAAAAGTATGAACATTTGGGCCAGTGAGATGGTTCGGTAAAGGCACCTGCCACTAAGCCTGACAACCTAAGTTCAATCCCCAGAACCCACATGGTAGATGGAGAGAACCAACTCCTAGCTCCTAGAAGTTGTTCTCTGACCTCTGCGTGCGCCGAGCGCGCGCGCACACACACACACACACACACACACTAAATAAATGAAAATATAAAATCTTAAGTACAAACATTTTAAGGCTCCTACATGCACCTTACCACAGTTTCCCTACATCACACTAACGTATCCTCACACTGAAGATATGTCTGAGGACTTTGAAAGGGACCCAGCCTTAGAGGCGCTGCAAGGGCAGTGAGGCTCCGACGGTAGGAAAGGATGGAATTGTACAAGCTCTGCTACTTTGCTGTCTAAAAATATCAAAGAGATCATTAACATGACATTAGATAACAGTACATGGTGAGGCAGGCATGTCATTAAATTTTAGATATGTTATTGAGCCGAAGCCTCTCTGAACTCCATGCGGTGTCTGTCCTTCCACAGGCTGTGCTATCTCCTTTCTTAGAAATGGGCAGAATTTTAGCAATGTGAGCAGAGACCTCGGCAGGCCATCTCTGAGGACTTACAATAACATATTTTAAAAATAATTTTAGAGACTCACTTTCAGAAGGTTTTGTGTAGAAATATGGAGATCCATACCTGGAAGATTTTCAGGGCTTTGATTAGTCCTCCGACTTCATTCTTCAAGGAGAAGATGAGTGTGGCCCTGCCCCGCTCCACGGAGAGGCCGTTGCTCTCTCTATTGTCTTCGATCATGACGATGTGAAGAAATTCTTGAACTAGAGTAAGGAAACACAGACGGTGGTGAGCCGTGTGGACAGACACTATTTGGTCACTTAGGGCACAATGGCCTCTCCAGTTTCTTCATCTATAAAGCCCAGATACCAGACAGGCATTGCAAGTCTGCAGTCAGACCACAGAGGGGACGCCACCTATTACAGAGCCCAGAATGGAACTTGGAACACATTAGTAATTCCCTTTTCTTCCTCTTTTTAATCATCGGAGGTACTAATCAAGCCCACCAGCTTCTTGTGGTCCTCCCACTGGCTCAGCCTGGCACTGAGTGCTCTTCTTCTCTGAAGGTCCACCTCACCTCCCATCAGAATTTTAGGACTTCCTGACTCTGGGTCTTGTTTAGTTTCTACAACTACTTTATTCATGTGTCTCGCATCCTAACGTGCAGTAGGCTCTTTCAGAGAGGGGCCAAGCCTGCTGTTTCCTCTGTAAACTCAAGTGCAGAGCCAGCTCTGTGTTTTTGATGAGAAGCTGGAGAAACTAACCTGCCCATGTCCCACAGCTGGAGGGGAGAGCACAGGTTCCCAGTCGGGTCTTTGAACATGTTCATCTTTCTGCTTTTCTGAGCACGCTTGGAATTAGTTGTTGGTGAAATCAGACCACTGTGCTAAAAGCCATGTTTTTATAGCACCCTGTGACACCTGAGGCAGTAAGCCTCTTTTCTTTCATTCAACTAAACCTCTTTCTCTTCTCTGGTACTTCCCCTTCAGCCTCTTCCTCCTGTAAGCCTCCCAAGTCCAGTAAAATAAAAGGCGGGCAGTGCTGTCATCCTCAAAGGTGAAGAGGGCCCCTCCCACAGCACCTGCTCACCTGTTCTAAAGATGTGCCAATGTACAGGACCTGGACCTGGGAATCAGACCTAACAAGTGGGTCTGCTGCTTAGCAACCACTGGGTAGAGTCCCTTAGTTTCATTAGCAATAAGTGAAATTTAAATTTATCTCATCTAGGAAGCACACAGCACAACTGAATCTTTTAAAAATTATGGGTGTTGTTTGAAGACACTAGTAAAAGCTACAAGGTTTGGGAAGAATTCTGGGGAATCTTGATTTTCTTTTCAAATGGGAAGTGGAACCGAAGAGAAAAGTGGAGATGAAACACAAAGAAAAAAATCACTGCAGGATATAAAGGAGCAGAGGAAGGCGAGTCAAAGCCGTATTGATGTACATGATCGGATGTAGTAGTGACAACACTCCAGGTGACGTCATGTGACATGTCACACCCACTGTAACTTCACAGAACCATCTGGAGTTACAATCCCACCCTTGAGGAGGCACAAGACTTCCGGGCTAGTTCTCCTCTTCAGACAGCTAGGACAGAGCACCAGTGGGGTTCATTTAAACCTCCCCCAACCAAAGGGTTCAATTTAATCAAGGTGAAGCTTACCTGGACTATTACCTAGCTCTGCACTTTAAGGACCTACACCTGTCCTTTGAGACTTTACAGAGCTCAGTCCTCTGCTGGGATGGAGGTAGGGAGCTCAGACGTGATGCCTGGCATTCGGGACTTTGGTGAAGTTTAAGGGACGGTTCCCTTCACTGAGGGAGAAGGAAGCTGCCCTTGGATGAAAAAGGAAAAAGATGACTGCTTCTACTGACAGGGAGTCAGTCACTCAGGCTTGGATGCCACTGGGACCCTGGGATCCTCCTCTGTAAAATCCAAGAAGGAACCACCTCACCAGGTAAAGTCTGTTCCTAGCACCTAAGCAGTCCCCAAAGAGGCTATGAGGGAAGAAGAGTGATGCCCAAGTGGCAGGACCGCCAGATCCAGGGTCGACCCCCAGGTCCAGGGTCCTAGGGTAGGGGCCACCCCACTCACCTCTGTGCCACCAGCGTTCAGCGGGTCACCTGCGGCCCAGCGCTGCTGCCTCTTATGGGAGAAGCGGGCTTCCGAGCGGCCAATGGGAGACCGGTCCACCCGGTGGCCAATGAAGAGGGAGCGGCCCCGGGCGTGGGCGGGGAGCGGCCGGGCTGACCTCTAGGCTCTGACCACACAGTCGGGTTGCAGGACTCATTCGGGTCTATTTGCCTAGCGTTTTAATTAAGCCTGTCTTGGCTCACTCCCAGCCACAGAAGTCTGAGTAATATCAAACAACCCAGAGCTAGAACTTCCCTCCAAACCAGGATTACACCTGTTATTGACAGTGAGCTCCTGCAGGCTGGGACTGGGTCTCGAATAGAGACCAAAGTAGGAATCCCCCTTGCATATCCCTGAGCGTCAGCATTGACAGCCTGGGCCTGCCTTATCTTTCTTAGTAGATGTAGTTCCTTACTCCTTTAGGAACAGCAATTGAACTTTTTAGAAATGCTGTATTTATGTGTCATGCTCTACAAACATGACTGAGAAGCCAGTATTTATTATAGGTTATTTACGGGCTAAGAGCTAAGTGGATTAGATGCTCTCTACAGGGCTACACCGAGTTCTGTGTCCTGGGGACACTGGTCCCAGCACCCCAAAAGATGCCAGTATCTGAGGATGTGCCTATCCTTCCCTTATATGGAATTTGTCATGACACATGCACATCCTCCTGGAGGCTTTAAATCATCTTTAGATTATTTACAGTACCCCGTGCAATGTGATTGCTATGTAAATATAATAGCTGTGCTGTTGGTTAACGACAAGGAACAGAGAAGTCAATACAGAAGCAATTCCTGCCCCCAGCCCAACAGCTTTCACTCCAGGTCGGAGGTCGAGTCAGCAGATGTGTAACCCTAGGAGACAGAAAGCTAACTGCACCTGTAACACCTTATATTGTAGGATGTGCTTTCCTACAATTTTTGAAAACTCAGTTTACAGATAGTTGTTAGCTGTCATGTGGGTGCTGGGACCTGAACTCTGGTTGTCTGCAAGAGCAGCCAGTGCTCTTAACAGCTGAGCCACCTCTCCAGCTCCTCATCTCTTTTCTCTCTTTAAAATAATTTCATTTTATTTTAATTTTATATGTATGAGTGCTTTGCCACATGTGTGCGAGTGCGCCATGTGGGCATTACCTCTTCTTAAACAGGGTGGCTCACGTCCTCCTCTATGCCCAACTTAGGAAGCCATCTTTGGCCTCGGTGGTTTCGGAAGATCTCTATCTGACCAGTGCCTTTCATGGCGATGCAAGGAGAGCACTGGATTCTGGTGTGGAAAGGTAGGGTATTGGGTAAAAGGCATCAGGGACCTTTATTTGGAATGGAGGGGGTAGTCTTCAGGGAGGGAATTGACACTAAGTGGAAATGTGTAGACTGAGAGAGTAAACCCATTTTGGTCTTCTGACCCCCAGGATTATATGATAATAAACATGTGGGCAGCAATCAGAAGCAGCCTTTCCTGAGGACTATCGTCCCGCCGACCGCTGTTCAGAGGCCGACCGCTGTTAGAGGAACACGCCCGAGGATGGCTATCTTCTTTCCTTCTGGTTTCTTCTGCTTTATTTGCCTCTTCCGGAACTCCCGTGGAAATTTGTTTTTCACTGTTACATCAGTTTGGTAACAGGAAACAAGCAAAGACTCCTAAACATGTGAGTCCTTACAAAGCCGTCCCCCTGTGTCTTCTCAAGTACATGAATTTTAAAACTGTCCCATTGAGCCCAGTAACAATTCTTAATTTGTGGACTTCCAGGCACAACACTGAGATGTTTTAGAAAGGGTAAGAGACATCTTGGAAATTTGGTAGAGAGGGCTGGCAAGGTGACTTATCAGAGAAATGTGCTTGTCACTAAGCCTGATGATCAGAATTCAATTACCAGAGCCTACTCAGTGGAAAGAGAACTGATTTTCATATGTGCATCATAGTGTGTGTGTGTGTGTGTGTGCATGACACATACACTAAATAGATGTAAAGTAAAAAAATAAAATAAAATAAAAAGGCCAGGCATACTGGTGCAAACTTTCAATTCCAGCACTAGGGTGGCAGAGACAGGCAGATCTCCTTGAGGCCAGCCTGGTCTACACAACGAGTTCCAGGCCAGCTGGGGGTGGGAGAGAGGAAGAGAGAGAGAGAGAGAGAGAGAGAGAGAGAGAGAGAGAGAGAGAGAGAGAGAGATTAAAAACTATCTCACAGAGAAGCAGGAAAGTTAGATGCCTACAGTCTAGGGGGTCTAAAGCTGCTCAGAGAAAAGAGTCCAGCTTTTCTCAGCTCATCAAGGTGGCCTTGCCCAGGCTATTCTAGTCAGGGCCAGTACCCAGTCTGTTCTTTTGACTTCCCTAGGAATATGTTCACTAAATCAATTGGCCTCATCTCTTTTCCTGTTTTTTATTCATTTTATGTGTATGAGTGTTCTGCCTGCATGTAAGTGCACTGTGTGTATACAATGCCCATGGAGGCCAGAAGAGGGTGTCAGATCCCCTAGAACTGGAGTTACAGATAGTTGTTAGCCATCATGTGGGTGCTAGGAATTGAACCCTGGTTGTCTGCAAGAGCAGCCAGTGCTCTTAACAGCTGAGCCATCTCTCCAGCTCCTCATCTCTTTTCTCTCTTTAAAATAATTTCATTTTATTTTAATTTTATATGTATGAGTGCTTTGCCACATGTGTGCGAGTGCGCCATGTGGGCATTACCTCTTCTTAAACAGGGTGGCTCACATCCTCCCCTATTCCCAACTTAGGAAGCCATCTTTGGCCTCAGGGTGGTTTCAGAAGATCTCTATCTGACCACTGCCTTTCATGGCAATGCAAGGAGAG